TTTGTAAATTATGCACAACTCTCAATTTTCCCCATTGATAGACTTGGAGTCGGTCTGCACGTAGGTATTTTTCTCAGTCATGAGTATAGCTCCCGAGGTCTTAATCTTTGTTAAAACCATATCCGATACCTTCCCCACAGGCAAATAATTCATCTTGAGCAGCTATGAATTCATAGCCTCTTCCATACGCAACATACACTGCAATTCTCATCAACAAGTGTGCATGCTATGAATTTCTAAAATTTCTAGCAGAATGCTAGCAGAAAAGGAAAATTCAAGGATCTGCACAATAAGTGCTTCTAATCTTCCACCATTTTCCATCCGAATAATCTATCTTAAGTTTTTAGCATTTATGGCATAAACAACCAAATATGTTAATAGATATGAAATAGAAGCGCAATAGGACTTCTTATAGGTAGCCATTGTCGTCTGCATATATTGTTCACAATTTATGGCAGGGTCCAATGAATTGTATCTTCTAATACATCATCTGGCATTGGAGGAGCAGAAGTTAGCCAGATAGCTTGGCACTTAACTTTCTCTTCCTTGGTCAGTTTAAAATTCTTTTATCAACAATCTCTAACCAGAGCCAACTCTGAGAAACCAAAACTTTTTTTAATGCTGCAGAGAACTAACTGTACAAAGAAAGTGTGATTATCCCATTTTCCATTATCAAAATTAGACAATCATGTGAATTTGGTCAGATGGATCAGTTGTTCGTCAGTTAAGAGTAATGTATCAGACGAAATAACTAAATTTTATACATCAAAACCAAAAGATAACATGTTCAAACTCCAATTCTTGCCTTCTTTCAGAAACTCGCTTGATTTCTCTTTAGATAGTTCTTTTCTGACCCGTCTTTTCTAGTCTATAGAGTTATTAATTTATAATAGTGAGAAGTCTAATATTCAAAAACTATTACCTAAGATTTCAAAAAGTACCCGGTATGCAATTGCAATTGCATTTTGCAGGTACAACAATCATCTACAGATGCAGCATCATGCCTCCTTGTAATAGCACTCAACAAAGGGCGAGATGTGATCATGGATGGCACACTCTTACAGGTGCCATTTGTTGTGCAGACAATAACCATGGCCAGGAATGTTCACCGCAGGTACCGCATGGGAGATCGTTACAAGGTGGATGCAGATGGAACTGTTACTGAAAAGTACTGGGAACAAATTGATGAAGAACAAGAATAGGATGAAACTAAAAAGAGAACGTCATACGGAATAGAATTGGTTGGGGTCGTTTGTGATGCTTATTTAGCAGTTATCAGAGGAATAAGGTACAACGAACATAAAATGTTGCTACTATTCTTATTTCCATATATTCATTATTAGCATAAAATGTATGGTAAAAACACATCATGACCTACCGTTTACCCTTCTGGTGACTTTATATTGTCTGTGTTCGTCATTTATATTTAAAGAAGAAAGATTTATCTTTGATTAGCTTTGTCTTAAGAGAATTCAGAGAATCGATGTTGTTTCTTCCCTTTCATAGGAGAGCTATAATGTGTAGAAGAGCAGTGAGGGTAAACTCACAGCTAAAATCGCACAAGAGATTTGCAGATGCATTTATGACATACTGCCAATTAGTAGACAATGCTAGACTCTACGCTACCAATGCATTAGAAGGCCCGCCTAAGGTATCATTAGCTTAAACAAATATGTTGTTTTTCTTTGCAATATCTACCAATCTGTTCGTGATTTTCTCCAGATATATCAGTTACTAACATGACTATGATTGTGAAGTTAATAGGATGGAAAGACAGAGACAAGACTTTGTTGGTTGACCCAAATGAGATAAGTTGCTTAAAAAAGGTAGGAAGGTTTAATGACGCAGCAGATTCCATATTTGAACTCTATAGACGCCCTAATCCAGCTTTTGAAGCAAGCTCGATTTGGAAAGACATCGTTCTGTCGCCTTCAAGGCTTAACATCCAGACAGAACTGAAGTACTCCATTCAGAAAGTTGAAAGATTGAGAGAGTGATTTGAAATCGTGACAATTGTAATTTCAAATTTCTCATTTTGTTATGCACGTTTAAGATAGTGTGGATCTGCAGGGGTTAAAATTTGGAAGGGTGTTCAACCGAGAGATCAATTATTTGAGTTGTACTCCAATCTGACTTCACTTTTTGACATGACAAATTTGGAAAAGTATGATTTGAAAATAAGCAGTTTCTCTTGTCCATGCTCTAAGATATGAAAACAGAAACTTACAGGCATTTAATCCAGGTCACTTTAAAAGTAGGGAGCAAAATCCCAGGCATATATGGAACTTCCCAACCTTGTACTTGAAATGTTCTAGGCATGGTAAAGAGAAGTTTACAGGCTTCTATGGTGACTGGTCAAAACAGAACACGGGCATCTTAGAGTTGTCATCAGGGTAAAAATAACAAATTGAAATTAGAATAACATAGAAAATAACTGAAAGGTGATAAAAAAAGATGTTCAGTAAAAACTATTCTTGTTATCCAGAGACTATGTTCCTCAATATTTTTCTGAGCTGCTGACTTGTCATCAGCAGTTAATATTTAGAGTTAACAAATTTCTTATGATAAGCACAAAAATTACCTTGGACTTTCTCTTGAGCTTCCTTTTCTTCACTTCTATTGGTTGTTTCATTCATCTTTTCATCTACAAGCATATGGACTATGGCAACTGCTTCTATGGACATATAAACACAAGAATCCCCCCCCCCCCTTCCTTTAGAGAACAATTGTGCAGATAACATACAATGTTAATCCATATAACTCATGGCAGAAAGCACAAAAACCTGAATTTTTATAGGCATTAGGAATACACTGAAGGTGACATTAACTCAGAGTTGACACGGTTCTTGGTAAAGCAATTACCTCTTGTTAAATTCTCATATTTATGACCAACTAAATTCTCTGTATAGGATCTAGATAGAAGATCAAACTTATATATGGTCCGAACAACTGTGCATAATTGCATCGACCATAGGAAAACTTGAATCTTTATGCAAACCTTTCATCAAAACAAAGAGTGGGCAAAATGTCCAAACTAAATCGAACTAGAACCGAACCCAACCTTGCAGTTTGGTGTTTGGTTAGGTTCTATAAAAAAATCAATAGTTTTGGTTCTTCGAACCGAGAACCATTTGATTTTGGTTCCGATTTGGTTCTAATTCTAGAACCGAGAACAAGAATCAGAACTAGAACCAAACTTAATTTTAAATTTTATATTTTTATATATATTAATTAGTGGAGATCCTAATTTTGTATTCATTGAAAATAGCCTATTAATTGTGTACACCCTAATTTTGTATTTATTGAATCATTTCTCTTTCACTCCTTTTCAATTTACACAACGCCACGGTAAGTCGACACTGTATTTCATCACGTGAGTGGAGGAAACTCTTTCAAGATCGAAAAATGGAATTGGTCAATCACTTAAAAAGCCTTTAAACAACTTTTTCACCTCGATTGCTTGATGAATTATTTGTGTTCACAAATGGAGGAAAATCCAATAAACATTCATGGTGATAGGAACCTGGAAGTAGCTGTTAGAGTTCTTCTGGTCTGGTCTTCTGCTGTTGCCTGTGTTCGCTCTTGTGAATGCTGCTGATTAGAGATTGGTTAGACAGCAGATCAGATAACAGAAATATTGCTACAGGATTTCAGAAATGGAGTGTGATAAATTGTATTATGTATTGAATGCAAGAAAGTTCAACTGTAAATGAATTGATAAAATGGAACAGAAATGAAAAACCCTCCAAGGCATTCGAGAGGCCTGGAACTCTCCTACTAGACTCACAGACTACTCAATTAATGAATCCAATCCCAAATCCCCCTTATTACATTCATAGGCATTCTATTATATTTCACTGCTGCTGGTTTTACAGGTGATAGGCTAGCTGCTGGAGATGATGCTCCTGCTTTGGATTGCTCAACTGCTGGGAAACTCCTGCTAATACTACTGTTGAAGACCGCAATCTAGCTGATCAGTAGAAGTGTAAGAAAACAGTTCTTTAATAGGATGATGTAGGCTTGATATGTAAATTGTAAAATATCACTCGGCATTTAATGGAAGATTAAGACAATTTGTTAATGGAATGAGTAAAAGAAACATAATTAAAGAAACAAATCCAATGCATTCAAAAGGCTGGGAACTCTCCCCCTAACTCAACAAACTACTCAATGAATGAATCCAATCCCAATTCTCCCTCTATTACATTTATAGGCATTCTATTATATTTCTATTACCCTTTTACCCTTCCTCTAACTAACTAAGAGGGAACACTCTAAAATAGTTGATAACTTGGCTGTAACTTTATTGGATATCTATCACATGAGTGTTTAAACAGTTAATGGTTGACTATAAAAGTGGATTGTAAAAGTTTTGCATAATTCATAATTTATTGTGGGGGTAGGCCATCAAAACTGCCACAATCAATTTTGTGTGTCATTGTTATTACTTGACAATCTTTTGTATAGAAATAAAAATTGTTTTATGTATCCAAATTATGACTATATTTTGTTTGTTTGTTAGGATTTTTGTGATCTTGATGATTAATAATTTGAACTTACTGAGCCCACATTTGGCTTCCATTATTTAAAATTTTAATGGCTAGATAGGTCTTTTTTAAGAATGTGTGGTCAAAAAAGAAGAAAATGTTTTAAAATTACGTGTAATATTATTTTATTGGTGTGTAGTTCAAAAAAAAAGAGAAAAATAAGCCATAATTTTAATGCAGGTCAAACAAGGACTGAATGTTTGATGTTTATTATTCTTTTATTTAGACTAGTTTTTACCCGTGCAATGCACGGGCTGGGATATTTTGATGATAATGTTAATGTGTTCAATGTTGAGAATTGACACGAGTGCATCAATTGAACAAAAGCCGATGAGTAAATATAGATGTTATGATTTTGTATTTTAGACAATGATCACCAAAATTGAAGGATGAATGTGAGCGCTAAAGATAAGGGGGTATAGCGAAAAATTAAAAATAAAGCAAGTAAAACTTAAATTAAATTAAATTAAACAATAATGTTAACTCCAAATATTAACAAACTAATTAGCATGTTCCATTCTAGTAATGTCTTCGGTTGATCTTTAAATGGTGGTCCTGGGATTTTGTCACCATAGCTATAAAATAACATATCGTTATTTTCAGTATCATATACATTTGCCAAATTCAAAGGTTCGAGATATTATGTAAAGCTTATTTTCTGCAACACATATTAAAGCAAACTTATGATCAAATGGAATTAGTATACCTTTCATGGTAGCAGCCTTGGATTCCTCATGAGCATCGTGCAGTGAAATTGCAGATCTTATCATTATTATGAGATGAAAATTGTCTTAAAAACATTCGGGAACCCACATTGAGAGTTCCAATTAAAAGTTGTGCTTCTGTTTTATCTTATTAATTTTATGATATATAATCATTTAGAGTACGATTTGCCACCTAGAAGTATGCTCCTAGTACATCAAGGACATACAAGGAAGAAAGCACAAACTAATTTACCCAAGACTAAAAGAAAAGAGAAACAGGATAGCCAAAAATAGTGGACGATATGATATGTTTAACATATTGACCTTAGACTGCTAGTAATTGTCAAGATGATCCAAACTTTAGAGAACAAATTTTTCTTCTCATTCAAGAGTGAAATTACGAGAGAAGGTAGGAATGATGATGTCCATTCTTATGCATATAATAGATATTTCTATACAACATCAGTAGATTGTGATTATATCAGTAGAAATGACATAGAATCCCAGCCTTTCCTCCATTATCACATTTCTTTGATTTAGCATTTGAACTTACAAGATACAGAAACAAGAAGAACCTAACTCTATACTAAATGGAGGAAAATTCAGTAGCTATAGATTTGGATGGGAAACCACTTGCACAAGGGTTGAAAAACTACTGGAGCAGTAGACAAATGAATACCTAAAGCTTTCTGAGTAGCTTATTGAGTTTTTCATATTGTTTCTCTATCTCTTGAACCTAGCAACAATGAATAAAAGGAAAGTGAAAACTTTAAATTGAACAAAATAAACTAATGCACCACTCCTTGTCTTCTGATGCACACCTTGTTAAAAAATTTGTCCCGGCTTAGTTATCCTGAATTCATCGATCTTGTCATTCCCATTTCAATCTTTTTTCTGGAAGATCTATCCCCAGAGGTCGCAAATGAACTGTCAAAAAAGAGCACAAACGAAAAGGAAACAGTTTAGCCTTCTAGATAGCCCTGCTAAGCAAACATGCCAAGAGAAACACTTATATGGAACATTTAGAAACCAAGAAAGTAAGTTATAAGTTGCCCTTTACATCTGCAAATTATAATGTACTGACGTGCCTGAGGAGAGATCTCAAATTCAATGATTCGATACGTAGAAACCTAATGATTTACCCTTAAGAGTTAAAGAAGAGTTGAGTTGAAAGATAAAGCCAATAAGAATAATAAAGATGCAGCCTGACTCTCTGCCTGGCACTACTGATTTAAATTTTATTTTTGTTTCTAAAATTATATAAATAAAATAAATATAGAATATTACGTAACATGATAATATAACATCTAGAATCACTACTTGAACCTCACAATCTCAGTTTGTTGAATGAAATATTAATGCAGAGGATAAAGTCACCAAAATAGATAGATAAATGGAATGTACATAGATGGTAGCAATAGCAAAGAAAGTGGAACCAGAAATGAAGATCCAGTAGTTGTAAGCTAGATAATGTGAACGAGCAAATCGTGGATAAGAGTTGGTTTCATTTGAAACTTATGTTAGGTCATGCAATACTGGCCATTTTACCTGGTTTCCTCAGAAAGAGTATTTTATACCCCTAGATCTTCTCTACCTACCTACTTGTGTCTTTAATACCCTTTTGTTTAAGCTTGGAAGAACAAGGAAGCCCAATCCCAAGTATTTGGCTATGTTAGCCACAGAACCAGAAGGACCAATTCAAAGGTGCTGGAAGTTAGGACTGGAAATATATGATATGTTCCTCATCTTCAAGTCCAAGTGAAGGAGAACGTGGCTTGAGTTTAGGTGGGAGTTTGTTTAGGAGTCTAAGCTTTAATTAAGTCCTTGGATAGTAAAGTAGGCGTTCAATTTGAATTGATGGTAATCATGGTTTGTCTCGGGCCCAAATTGGAGAATTTCTATTGCAATTCACTATTTTTAGCTTGTTTCATTTAATGTGCTCCAATAAAGTCCTTCATGTAAAGTTCTTTTTGGGTTGTCAATTTTCAGAAGTTTAGATGGAAAATAGTAATCAGACTTTTCAATAGGCAAACTGCTTGTAATAATTTTGTCGTGTGTCTGAAATAGGTTCTTCAAGTGTATACGAAGACTTGGCGATTATTATTTTCACAAAATTATGTGAAATGTTTATGCTGTAATCATTCTGACATAGATGTTAGCAGGATTTTATGGTTTAGCATTTTCCTTTAAACTCCAAGATAATGGAAACTGAATGATTTCTTTTCCATTCCCAATCCAACATTTTACACAACCCTAACACAAATATTCACTGTTTTAGAAGCCACAGTTAAAAGTTTATGGCATCTCCTAATGAGTAGCAAAAATAAGGGCACCAGGATATCTCTTCATAAATAAATTAGAAAGTCATATTCGAGGTACAAAATGAGAAGCATAAATATGGATTTGAAAGCTTCTATTTGTCCTAAATGAGCTGTTACGAGGTACTTCAGTACGTCTTCATTTTCAGTAGTTAATAAATCGATTATACTATTCTAGATTACTCAACTTAAGCTTATAAACATATAGGCTACTACAGAAGTCATTATAAGGGTTGGTAAAAATTCTATAAAATTTCATGTGATCAATTTCTCCACTGGTTTTCTTGAATAATGACAACACATTTAAGGAATATACAAACTATTTGCATTACAATTGTAACTAAGACGTTGAATCAAAGATGTGGAGCAAGAGAATTGGAATACAAATGGGATTATAATGATCACCTCCAAAACTTAAGTAAACATCAACTTGACAGCATCATTACAAAAAGAAGAAAAAGAAAAATTGATAAGAAATTGTTAAAATGGCAATTCTCTGATATACTTGATGTTTAACACAAGATGGTTACATGATGGGTGTTTCAGAAGCTTCTCATTGTCGGTTTCAACATCAATCATGACAAGGAGTACCTATTAAAGCAAGAGAAACGACAGTAACAACAGTAGAGAAAAACAGGACCAAAGTATATCCAGAATAAAATGAAGATCAAATTAATTAATGAATATAGGCATCCATTCCAGTAATTCTTTTACCGTGTTACAACTTTTGCTTTACGTGATGCGGACATTCCAAAGTAAAAGTTACCGAATAAAAATGCATTGTCTTACAATTATACGGTAAAAGAATATTAATAACACTGTCAATCATAAACATGAAAGGAAAAAACATATGAGCTTAGAAATCTATAGTAATGAGCCATATGTTGTACACATGAATTATATGTTTATTTCACTTCAATTTTCTACTTATAAAACTACAAACAAAAAATTGTTATGATAGGGTTTGGTAACATTGTCCTTCTTAGCAGGAACTGGATATGGCAGAGGCTTCAAGAAAGGTTCGGGCATGAGATAGATAGGTAAATAGCTTTCTTAATGTCATCTAAAAGTGCTGTGTTAGAATCAAATAAGTTGGAAGAGTTAAAAAACATCTGAAATGATTTCAAACAAGACAGATGAAGATTCTTGCATGGTTTTGGAAAATCATCAAATTCATCCATCAGAAAATGTTTAAGAAATTCTTTCCACCTCAATCTGACAATCTCTTCCACATAAGCAATCGACTCATTGATATCAACCCCTAGATTTTCATTCAAGTTGAGCAATACAAGATTCATTTTTCCATTTGCCTTTTCTCTCAGTAGTTTCAAATAAAATTGAGAATTTCTAGTCATTAACAAACTTAAAAAGCATATACATTGTAAAGACAAATTTAGGATATGAATAATCCTATATGAGTTTTATTCAATGATATGTACATGAATTTATAATACAATGAAGGTAACATGAAAGGAAAGATAATCTCCTAAGAAAGGAAAGAAAAAACTTGCCTAACTAATTTTTATTTAAACAAGGTATATAATCAATCATAATATACAATAATAAAGTCCCATAATTTCGGGATTTCTTCACTCCCCCTCAAATTGGATCATAAATGTTAATCATTTCCAACTTGCAGATGAAATCATCGAAATGTTGTTTAGGCAGCCCTTTGATGAATACATCTGCAGTTTGTTCTTTGGTAGGGACATAGGTCATGCATACAGTTCCGTCCTCAACCTTTGATTTGATGAAATGTCTATCCACTTCTATATGCTTGGTTCGATTATGCTGAACAGGGTTGAGAGAGATGTTTATAGCTGGTTTATTATCGCAATATAGTTTGATTGGAAGTTTCATTGTAACTTGTAGTTCTTCTAAGAGTTTTTTTAACCACAGTCCCTCGCACATTCTTTGAGCAACTGCTCTAAATTCAGCACCAGCACTACTTCTGGCTACTACATTCTGCTCCTTACTTCTCCAGGTTACCAAGTTTTTCCATACAAAAGTACAATAGCCAGTAGTCGATCTTCTATCCTCTATTGATCCTGCCCAATCGGCATCAGTAAATATTTCTACTCCCCTCTTTTCATTTTTCTTAAAGAAGAGTCCTTTGCGCAGAGTACTTTTTAGATATCTGAGAATTTCGTATACTGCTTCTAGATAAGCTTTCTTTGGAGAATGCATATGTTGGCTTACCACACTAACTACGAATGCAATATCTAGTCTAGTGTACGATAGGTATATTAGTTTCCCAACTAGTCGTTAGTATCTGTCCTTCTCAACAGGTTCTCCAGAGTCTTCTGATCTTTTTCCTGCATCTATTGGAGTATCGCTGGGTTTACATCCAAGCATCCCTGTTTCAATTAGGAGGTCCAAGACATTTTCTTTGTGAAATACTGATACCCCTTCTTAATCTGGCAATTTCCATTCCAAGAAAATATCGCATAGGTCCCAAATCTTTCACTTCAAATCTGTGGCAAAGTTTTCCTTTAGTCTTTCCATCTCAATTGTATTATCTCATGTTAGAATTATGTCGTCAACATATACAATTAGTATTGTCTTTGTCCCATCTTCAAATAGTTTAAAAAACATGGTGTCATCAGACTATCCTTATCGATATCCGTGTTTCTCAACACTCTTGCAAATCTATCGAACCACGCTCTTGGTGACTGCTTGAGGCCATAAAGGATTTTTTTAGTTTACATACTTTATTTTCTTCATTCCTTTCACAAAAACCTGATGGTAGTGTCATGAAAACTTCTTCTTCTAGTTCCCCTTTCAGGAATGCATTCTTGATATCAAATTGTTGGAGAGGCCAATCCAGATTGGCAGCTAATGATAGGATGACTCGAATTGTGTTCAACTTTACTACATGTGCAAATATTTCTATGTAACCTATGTCATAGGTCTGGGTATATCCCTTTGCAACCAGACGGACTTTATACCGTTCTATAGTTCCATCAGCTTTATATTTCACATTAAAAATCCATTTGCATCCAACGGGTCTTTTTCCTTCGGGAACTCCGTCACTTCCCAAGTTTCATTTTTTTTCTAACGCCTTCATTTCTTCCATGACGGCTTCTTTCCATTTGGGTGTTTCCAAAGCTTCCTGGACATCTCTCGAAATTTCTGTATTATCAAGGTTAGAAACAAAAGCAAGGAACCATGTAGAAAGGGTATTATAAGCTATAAATTTTGAGACGGGTGGAGTGTGCATGACCTAGTTTGTTTTCTGAGAGCAATAGGCAGATTCATGTTAGAAGTTTCAACAGAATGCTCATGCTGATCTGGAACTAGCATCGGTTCCGGCTCTCTAGGTGCTTCAGGTGTTAGGTTGTCATTGTACCTTGATCTTGGTTTTCTTGAGTAAACTATTATTTCTTTGTCATGATTCTTTCCATCTCCCTCTGAGTTTAAGTTACGTTCTGTAAATGGCATGTTAGAACAAGATGGTGTTGGAGTCTGAGGGATAGAGTCAAATGTGGGAGAAATATCAATTTTCAAGAACTGATCTTCACTTGGATTTTCCCCCTGAAGAGAGGTTCTTTGAAAATAAGTAATTTTCTCAAGGAATGTGATGTTAAAACTAAAAAGAACCCGTTTTGTGATAAAATCATAGCATTTCTAGCCTTTTTTTGTAGGTGAGTATCCGATCAGTACACACTTAAGTGCCCGAGGATCTAATTTATTCCTTTGATGAGAATGGATATGGACAAATGTTGTACATCCAAACACTTTTAACCGTAAGTTTGAGTTAAGGTGAGAGTTAGGAAAGATTTTTTGGAATTTTTAGACGGGAGATTCGAATTTAAGAATGCGACTTGGCATTCTATTTACGAGATAGGCCGATGTCAATATGGCATCTCCCACAGAATATTTTTGGCATATTTATAGTAAACATTAAGGCACGAGCAACTTCAAGAAGATGTCAGTTCTTTCGTTCAGCAACTGCGTTTTATTGGGGAGTATTGACACAAGAATTTTGGTGAATTATCCCATTTTCTTAAAGATAGTTTCTTAGAGTGTTATTGACATATTCTGTGTCATTATCTGTGCGTAAAATTTGAATTCGGGTTTGGAATTGAGTTTGGACCATTAAATGAAAATTGATAAACACAGAACGAACATCAGTTTTATCTTTAAGTAGATAGACCCAACAGATTCAAGTATGATCGTCGATAAACGTAATAAACCATTTTGTGTGGGTACGATTAGGGGTTTGTGAGGGGCCCTATAAATCACTGTGAATCATAGTGAATGGTTTAGAAGGTTTACATATTGAGTTTGGAAAGGAGGAGCGTTAATGTTTTGTCAGTTCACAAAATTCACAATGAAGATTATCATGAGTTTTATTTGAAAATATGAAAGGAAATACACGCCTCAAATATTGAAAACTGGGGTGACCCAATCTATAATGCCATAACAAAATTTCACTACTCTTAGGGACAAATGCAGAATCAAAGCTAGCAAATTGGCGTTGTTTACTCACATCAATCTCGTCAAAGTAGTAGAGTCTCTCACACTCCTTACCACTGCCAATCGTCTTCCCCGATGATAAGTCTTGAAAAACACAGCGAGAAGGAAAAAATTTAGCAAAACAATTAGAATTTTTTGTCAATTGACTAACGGATAACAAATTGCAAAACAGTTTTGGAACATGAAGAACAGATTCGAGCATAATTGAATGAGAAATTTTAATATTCCCTACTGGAGAGAGTAAGCCATCAGCAATTTTGACTTTTAGGTTACTAGCACATGGCGAATATGTGGAGAACAGGTGGTGGGAGTCCGTTATGTGATCGGACGCACCGGAGTCAATGATCCAGGGAACTTAGGATTGTATGATATTGCTTAAAGCTTTTCGAAGATTACCTTTGTGGGCTAATGAACTTGACGGATTGTGTGTAGAAGACTGACTAGATGTTTGGAGGCTGGAGAACATTTGATAGAGTTGCTCCATTTGTTCAGAACTGAATGCACCATTTGGAGAGGAATTAATTGTTGTCTCGGCTTGATATCCTCGGCTCTTAGCCTTTTGTCTTGGTTTCCAATCTACGGGCTTTCTATTTATTTTCTAACAAGTATCTTCTTTGTGTCCCGGCCTATGACAGTGTTCACACTAGGGTCGTCCCCGTTGTTGGTTATGAATTGACCCATTTTTCATTCCCCGAGATGATCGGCCTAACATTCCCAATCCATTTCCAAGTGTTGGTCCTCATCCTAACCCATAATTAGCTTCTATTTATGACCCATTAATTTTTGAAGAAAGGGGTCCACTTTTGAACCCATTGCCTTTTAAAAATAAAGGCCCAATTTCGGACCTAACTTGTAGGCCCATTAGCTTTAAAAAATCCTGGCCCATTACCCTTCACAGACAAGTCCGAAATCTCGCTTTCTTCAGTCGCCTCCTTCAGCATAATCTGTCTTCGCGTCTCTTTCGGGCGTACTTCTGCAAATACCTCACGTGTCAAATGTAGCTGTTGCCGGCCAAGAATCCGGCCTCTCACATCATCTAAATAGCGATTCAGCCCAGCAAGAAACTCATATACTCTTTCATTCTCCACTTTCTTTCTGTATCTGCTACTATCGCCTGGGCACTCCCATTTTTCTTCGAAGCTTAAATCGAGTTCCTGCCAGAGGTTAACCATTTCCATATGGTACTTCATGACTTCTCTTGATCCCTGTTTTGTCTGCCATAGGCGAGTCTTAATTTCAAAAATCTGTGATGCGTTTTCAGAGTCGGAATATGTTTCTTTCACGGCTTCCCATACATCCTTTGTTGTTGGAAGGAACAGGTAAGTCTTCCCAATGGACGGCTTCATGGAATTCACGGCTGTCACCATTGAGCTTTCAGATTTCGACTTTTGAAGGAGGGCAGCGTCCACCAATTTTTTTGTCTCGCTGGTAAGGTAACCAAGCTTACCCTTTCCATCTATCACCAATTTAATTGACTGGGCCCACTCTCAAAAAAAATTCCGTTGAGTTTCTTGACTGTAAGTTGGAAGGACGAGTTTTCGAGTCCATAGGATCCCATTGAAGATTTTGCCTCTGTTCCAAGTTGAGATGTTTCGAAGATTGACTCTTTGCTATTGACGATGGAGTCAGCCATTGATACTTAGGTTATAGGGACGTTGGCTCTGATATCATAAAGACATATTTAGGATATGACTAATCCTATATAAGTTTTATTCAATGATATGTACATGAATTTATAATACTGTTGATACACAAAAAGTTCAGCCCAACTCGAATGGCCCAAAGAATGAAGCCCAATTGGAAGATCCTCAAAATCAAATAGCCCAAAGAACGATCCAGTCAGGCAATGCAGGATAAAGGCCCAAATAAGAAAGCCCATGAACGCGGAAATACCATCGTCCAAGGTTGCAAGTCGCCCAAGATTTGAGCGAATGAATTGCCATGCAGTCGCCCAGAGTTGTGACTCTGCTCTCGTCCAAATATTCAAGTAGCCCAACATCTTAGTAAACATAAGAAGTTATGGTTATCCAAAAGCACAGTTAATGAAGCAGTTATTGGGTAGTCCTATCACGTTCCACGATTCAAGGAATTCAATTGAAAACGGTTGAACGACAAAAGTAGTGACAGCAGTTAGAGAAGGCAGTTCCATAACAAGTTGGCCACTACAAGGAAAGTAGACGGTTATAGAGCAATCAAGCGGTTTCTTAAGCAGTTGATCACGAAGAAATCACCCATGGAGTATAAAAGGAAGAAAAAACATAGAGCAAAGGACCCCCCGAATCAAACACTCTCAAACAGAGAATATGTAACTTTCAATTTCTTAGTTTAGATTTAAACACTTCTTTTACAGTAACTCGTGTGCTTGCGCCCCTTGAAGGCATTCTGTTTTTACTTTCCAATTGTAAAGTCATCGCCAATAAAAAACGCCCCTTTTTGAGATTTTGTCTCAAGAGGTTTGTCTCTTACACAATCGTCTGATCCCTTTTTAATTGTTAGCGACTAACCCGCGCGAAACAAATACAATGAAGGTAACATGAAAGGAAAGATAATCTCCTAAGAAAGGAAAGAAAAAACTTGCCTAACTAATTGTTATTTAAATAAGGTATATAATCAATCATAATATACAATAATAAAGTCCCATAATTTCGGGATTTCTTTACATTGCATGCAAGAAAATTTTCTATTATCAATTACCTGATAGCTCCGAGTATCATTCAACTATCGTATTATAGCCATGAGCAATTTCGTGATGTTCTAATATTTTGCAACTTTAAGCTTTACATTTGGTACTATGCCAGAGTTCAATAAACACGCTGCTGGAAGAGCAAGGGCATGTGCGAAAATTGATATCACACCAGTTTAAAGTTATTCATCCAATAAAGATATATACTTACAGTGACTCCAAGTTTTTTCCACCATCCATGAAGTAAATATTTCACACCGTTCTTAATAGGGGATCACTTAATACTTTTAGTGACAGAATTTAGCAATTGTGGGAAATTTATGTTAAAAACTTATGAGATCTCAATTTTTTCCCTAATTTCACTTCTTTCTTGTGTGTTTTTTACTTTGATGTGATGTCGTTCACAAAATCATCAAGGACATTAACTATAGTCTCACTGAAGTCCTTTGCCATTCCATGTGCAAGGAAGTAGTTACCATCAATGGCTTTGTTTGCTAAATACTATATAGTATCAATATATCGTCCACTTTATTGTTCAAACTGCATATTGAGTAAAGAACTTAGGGAAAGCACCTTTTAACTGTGTCTGTCAAGATTTCCAGCTCACTGTGATAACCTTCCATGTCATCGAAGCCATCAGCAACTGTGACAATTATTTCACCTTTTGCCACTATCAATCGAACGATGGAATAAAGAGGCAGGGAACCGTTGGCAACAACAGCAAAGTATACATATATATTTTCTCTCCTAAATCCCATGTCACTAAGTCATCATTTCATCACCATTTCATGGACGATTTGTATATCACGAGCCGAGAAATGTTATTATATATTATCCACGTTTAATGTGTACAAATTGTAATGATCAGTTATTTGCACATACCTTTTTAAGTTCCTCTAATTCATTTCTGAATATCAACTGTTGGAACTCATAGATTTCCACTACAAGCTGCATTGGATTCTTGTTGTCGAGACAAGATAACCTAGTAAATTGTATTAAGAAAAATTAATGTCATTTTCTTTATTTGAATATGTTAAATGCAGGCTAGTCGAGCATACATGTCATCGATGTACCTGTAATATGAGACCTTCCCAAAACAATATGGGGTGACTTTATATTTTTCGATCCACTTCCTTTGGTCGATGATCCAGTCGAGCAATCTATGGAAGGTCCAACTCATGCTTAACCTATCGTGAAACCATGGTTTGATGTAATCAGTTATAATCGTTACATAATTTTTTGATAGGGGAAGGGGAAAACTGGTCATGTACCACATTTAGAAATCCCTTAGATAGTACAAATATGATCGCTAATTCTTTTAATTGATTTTCTAGCATTCTTTTGGTAATTTTTCTTGCCTCCTCTAATTCATACTTTCCTAGAAATAATAAATATGAGACTGTGTGTATACACTACACATCATTCTAATGAATTCTTCATAGTTTTCTTCCCAATGTGCTTCTAAATATTATGAAATTTGACTCACTGCACTATTTACAAGCAATAAAATGTCTGAATTAAGTAACGATTTTGAAATTCTACTAGGATTTACATCATATCCTTGCATTCAAAAGAGCAAAAGGATAACAACTCCTTATATAATTTTATGAGTGATAAAATGTTAGTTTTTCTTGCTTTACCCTGTGCTTCTTCTGATCCCTGAATAAGTGAAGGCCAAAATTCCCTCTTACTGTTATACATAATTAAATTTATTTTCGTTAGGAAGCGAATCATGCCAGAAACATGTACAGACGCAAAGAAGATCAACAAGTTATAATAATATAGTTTGCACTTTGTACATTTACTTAGTCACTGATGCGAATTTGGATCATTCTTGTGTTTACCGATTAACTACTAAACAATTTACGTCTATTCAAATAGCTTTGTCAATGGATGGTGTTCTCCTTGGCCAGGCCTAGCATGAGCCCAAGAATTGTAATTTTGCGTTTGTTTCCCTCGGCCATTGCGAACATTGTAGACCCATAGATAAAAGTAAATCACCCAATTCTTAATCATTTTTAACATAATTTTCCTTGGTGTACTCGAACATGAAATTTATTTAGATCATTCACTAAAATTCAAATCTACAATCTTTTCAAATAGGATAACTTTTTTACGCAGGAATCAACACATTGCAGAACCTCTTTGATCTACTAAATCAATCACACGGAGTCCACTGACTTATACATGAGGATATCTAATATCATCTCAAAAACTCAATCATGACTTAAGATTTATAACATAAGAAACAGTAGAAAAATTCAAAGCTTGCCCTGCAAAACTACAATTGGATTCTGTTCTCCCTACCACATAATTTCATTGGCCTTAGTTAAAATTTCCATCACGACAAGAAGAATTAAACAAAGAATAGACAATAAGAACATCATTGGAACAAACTTTAGGAATTTAAGGTTCGACTTCTTAAAAGATCGAACAAAAAAAGGAAAAGAAATCGTAGATTCAACAATAGAGCTCAAAAAATCGAAAGAAACATACAGGAGAGGAAGAAATTAAAGCAGTGAAGATTATTCTTACAGGAATGTCTCAGTTGATTCAAATTCTTTGGAATTTCTTTCTAGGATCGCGAGAGCACCACCAACGTTGAATAGGCTAGTGCTTAAGGATCCCCACAGTGGGAGGAACAAAACCGCTGCGAAGAAGACTGAGCTCTTGACTGCTCGTGTCTACCTCAGCTGCTTTCTCCCTCAGCAAAATCGCCAGCTCTTTGTTGTAATTGTTGCTGCTTCCCTTAGCAGAGGAGTTTCTTCTTACAATTTCGTCAAGTATCTCAGATCTTTGAGAATGAGTGAGGATAGATTTCTTCGTTGATGGAGAGACGAGTAAGTTTTGAGAACAAGCGTCGGATTTTCTTTGGTGGTCAAGATTTCATTTGGACCCTCATATAACCCCCAAATGTGCACTGTAAAATGAACAGTGTGTGAAAGGGAGGGTGACATGAATGAACAGTAAATGAAAATCCTAGAAGGGTAGATATATAATATTAACTTATGGATATTGTGCAAGTTTGAAAATTCTAAAAATGAAACTAGAATCAAGCTAAGCGAAACCAAACTAAAATCGTATGGTTCAGTTTCTTGGTTCCATATGTTGAGAGAGAGAGAGAAAAGAAGAAGAAAAAAACACCATTTGTTTACATTATAAAAAAATAATTAATTTATAATTCTGTTCAATTCTCTTAGAACCAGATGCAAATGGAATTATGTCCACCCGTAATCAAAACATTTGTTGTCAACTAATGAATGTTTCTCAAATCAAAAAATTGAACAGTAACTCAACAAATCCCCTTCTTGACATTAGCCAATTTATCCAGTTTTATTTTATTGCTCTATCTTAAGAAGAGCCAACAAGTACAAGAGTTGGACACGACACGATACAAACAATAAGATGTGCCATTTTTCAAGAGTACCGGCATGAAGGATCTGTGACACACTAATAAAAATAATTTTTATTTCTATTTTGTATTGTAAAGTAAATATTTTATTAATTCCAACGAGCCGACAATGTATCAACAATTTTCTTAAGAGGTCCTTAAGCACACAGCCAAGTGAAAGCAGGATTATTTAAAGAGCGCCTTTCTGCTCCATGTGTCACCTGGCCAGTTAAAATTCACCATGTGCATGAGATAGCAGGTACCTTAGATGCTCAGAAGACACATAATGGTTATCAATGGAAAGTAATCATAAGCTAAGGTGAAAACTCGAAATGCAGGCACATAAAATTCTTCTTCTCAATATAATCCTTCTAAAGTTCTTATCATGAATGAAAATCTAAATTGAAATTGTTTCACACATTTAGGTACCATTAACAACGGGTACTTGAAGATGTATTGCATAGAAGTAAAGAGAGCTGGGGAGAATTGCTACAAGGGTTCCCTGTGAAAAGAAGAATCATATAAGATTAAAAATTAGTTCTACATGGGCTACTAAAGGACAAACATCTATAAAATGAACAAAGTAGAAATAGGTATATTCAGCTTAATGTATGATCATGCAAGAAGGAATAAGATAACAAATGAGAATACAAGCCAAAAATAGCACTGTGACCGATTCACAATAAATTGAGTAAAGGACAAGATGGATAGTTGGGACGCCATGCATAGACTTAAAACAAAAGTGACGTGATATTAGCGCAAAAAGGTTAAAAGGAGACATTTTTTAAAGTTAACACGGCCAGTTATGGTCACATGAATCATCCAATCGAACTACCACAATGTATCGAATAGAATGAAGAAAAAAGAACATGTAGCCAACCCATATTATTAGGAAATGCACCGGAACCTCAAACTATTATTAATTTTCTTTCTTCTCCTAATTGAAAAAAAACAAATAGATGGAAAATGAAACAGCTCCTGTTTTTGTTCTTATCATGAATAAGAATCCAAATCTAATAAACAGTTATCTAATAGTACAATGCAGGGTCCCAAGATCACACAATCACTGGAATCAAAGAGAAGGTAGGCGTAAACAAGAGAGCAAAAATTGATTGAAGTATGATGGATAAATGAAGAAACGTGAAAAGTGTAAGCATTGCAGATGAATGACAAGATATTTTAGATACCAGCAAACATATCATGTGGTCTAAGGAAATATGGAAGAACTTACAAGGAATCATTCCAAGCGCCACCAATGGGTCACTATCACCTGATATTGAAGGATGAGAAAGGAAATGCTTTAATATAGGGGCAGCTGAACACCTTAAATATGTCAGGTTATAATACATCTCAGCAACCTTGTAAAAATTTCAAGTATTCAACAAGACGAAAATTAATGAAAATGAAAAGACAACCTGAAATCTGCTCTTCTTTAATCTGGATACTAATAAAAAACTATGAGTGAATATATGCTATAAATCATCTTCCTAACACCAATACTTTTCTCCTACCATTGTGATGAATCCATATTTAGACTTTGCTGATTGTTTACAAGAATGACAATAAATCCCATCTTGGAAATTTCATACATATCATGGCTTGCCAATCTGTATCAATCAACATAGCCCCAAGTTTAAATGATGCCGCACCTTTGTAATAATCACCAAAGTAAATGCTAAATTTCCAATGAGTTAATTTAACCAATCCTCACACAACTTTAAAATTGTTACCACTTACTCACGCATCTTTGACGGGTTACTCATTGATCACTCATCTTTCTATATGATTACTCATCCATCACTTGATAAACTTCTCTCTCTCCAAATAAACAAAAAATTACACGTGGATAACATTAATAATATGTGGATAACATTAATAATAAGTGGAAAATCTTCTCTATTAAATCTGAACACGCTGAAATCAAACCACGACTTTTCTTCTGGGCAAATCACGCCTCTTCTGTCCTGGAAGAGAGTATTAAAAAAAAACCTTGTCAATTTCTTCAAAATTTTGCCCGAAATCAGCGTCCAGGCTTGCGATTCTTCTATTGTCTGCATAATGGAGGGCATAGGTGACCCACAAGGCCCTCATATCGACAATAATTGTATGGAAGATGCATTGCTGGAAGATGAGCAAGAAAGATAAAAAGAAGGTAAATTTCTATATTATATTGTTGGAACACACTGTGTTTCCTTATGGGCATAAAGTAAAAAAGAAAAAAAAAATTGGATATTTATTCAAATGATTCTAAACTGAATATCAATATTTTAATCAGATTCATTGAAACCCTAGCCATACTTTTGTTGCAACGCCTGAGGCCGAATATGTATGTTCCAGAAATTAACTACGAAACATTAATTCTAGTATTTTTGCATTTTAGTGACGAACAATGGGAGTGAAGATTTCTTGCCAGTTGAGTGCCAGTTAAATGACTCGGAGGATGATGTGGACGATGGTAGCTTTCATTATCACAGAAATGCACCGGAAAGAGTTGTGGTTGGTCTGAATGCAAACCTTGAATTGCAAATTGCTGGTGAAGATAATGGCTCGGAATTGGATGATCCATATTATGCATATTCTAAAGAGGAGTTGCATTCTGATCATTCTTCAGGTGAGGAAAATGATTATCGTTTCCCCACTTACGATGTTGAGATGGAGAAGTTTAATCCACAACTAGAGGTTGGAAAGGAGTCAAAAACATAGAAGAATTTAAGAAAGTAGTTAGACATCATAGAGTAGTCACTAGGCGTAATTTGAAGTTTAAGGCAAATGATGATAAGAGAGCACAAGGAGTGTGCCAAAAAAAGGATTGTAAGTGGAAGATTTGGACTTCATGGAATAAGAAGAAGGGTTGCGTCCAAAATTAAGACATTCATTTCGTAGCACACATGTATACGAGACAGAACAGATAGACATTGTACTGCTAAGTATATTGCTTAGAAGTACTTGGAGACCTTCAAAGTTGCCCCTAATTGGAAGTCAAAACTCATTATTAAGGTTGTGAGAGATGACTTGAAATTAGTAATCAATAGAGTTACTGCATGGCGGGCTAGAAGACTTGCGAAGATATTGATTGAGGGCTCTAAAGAACACCAGTTTGGCCTGCTTTGGTCTTTTGCTCATGAGACTTTGAGAAGCAATCCAGGATCCACATGTATAGTCACCACGCATGAATCGAAGTTTCAAGGGATTTATTTATGTTTAGAAGCTTGTAAGAGAGGTTTTATGAGTGGTTGTAGGCAACTTTTAGGTTTAGATGGGTGTTTTTTGAAAGGGAATTTTGGCGGACAAATGCTTGTTGCAGTGGCACTAGATGCCAATGATTGTATTTACCCAGTAGCGTATGCAATAGTGGAGACTGAGAATGCTAGAAGTTGGAGATGGTTCGTTAGTCATTTGGGTGAAGATTTAAGGATTGTGAATAGCAATGAGTGGACTTTCATGACTGGTAGACAAAAGGGATTACAAAAGGTAATACCCTGATGCTGAACATAGGTTTTGCGTGAGGCACATGTATACAAATTTTTTTAGGGCTGATTTTAAGAGTTTGGCACTTAAAGGCTACTTGTGGAAAGCTGCAAAGTCAACTACTGTGCCCGATTGGAAGTTTTGGATGGATGAACTTGCGAAGGAGAGTGCGGGTGCATGTGAATGGTTAATGAAAAAGGATCCATGTGAATAGAGTAAGTCTCATTTCTCAACTAAGGTAAAAAGTGATATAGTGCTTAACAATTTATGTGAAGTTTTCAACAATGTAGTGTTAGAGGATAGGGAGAAATCAGTCTTGACTCTGTTAATTGACATGAATATTAGCTGCATGAAGAGGATACAATCAAGGAGGGATAAGATGAGAATAGCCAAAGGACCTTTGTGTCCTAAGATCCAAAAAAATTTAGGTAAATCTATGGAAATAGCTGAGGAGTGTGAAGTAGAGTGGTCTGGGGGCCCACAGTTCTTATGTAAAATGTCCTACCGGGGAATATATGGTCGATTTGTCAAACAATACATGTGCATATAGGAGATGGGATTTGACTGGGATTCCATGTGGGCATGGGGTTGCTGTTATACTAGATAGAGGGGATAATCCTATAAAGTATGTGCATGAGTGCTATACAGTGCAAACCTACCTACAGTGCTATAAAAACATTGTTAATCCCATTAACGGTAAGAAATTGTGGTCAGAAGTGAATACTTTCCCTTTACAACCACCGGGTTAGGTTGTGGCGAAGAGGGGAAGGAAGCAAAAAAAGAGAAGAAGGTAGCAAGAGGAAGATGTAATCACTCTTTCTGGTTCCGCATCAAGAATGAAGAAAAAAGGCACGGTGAAGATGACTTGCAGTGTATGTGGTTTAACTGGCCACAACAAGCGTTATCATGATAGGGCAGATGCACCAAATGAGGTTTTTGTCTTGTTTTTACTATGAAATTAGCATGTTCCAAAGTTATGCAGTTGAAATTAAGTTTTTAACTATGTTTTTTGACTTCAGGATTGGGATGGAAATGGTTTCAATTATGTAAATCAAGATAGGTCTAGCCAAGTTGAAAGTCAAAGTTCAAGGGTAATTTTTTTGGTATTGTTAATCTATGATTTCCATTGATTTCTCATTAAGCCGAGTCTTAACCATTTTTGTTCTAATGTAGCCCAAGCTGGTACCTCGAAGAGCAAATAAGAATTCAACAAATGAAGTGCAACAAATTCCTCCAACAGATGGATACATTTTCATGCCCACACCTGGGATTACAAATGATGCACAACCTAACAACAATGGTCATTTTCCTACTACAGTTCCTTTTGCACATCCAAGGACAAGGAAGAGTAGAGCAACTCAGTAGAATTTATTTTTGATTGGCGACAGGTTCTAAATGGAAGTTTTTGATAGTGAGCCATTTTTGTTGTCGTCATGAAAGTTTTTGACATGGCACTATTTTTTGAAATGTAGTTCAACCATGATGGATACTTGTTTTTGAATGAATGGTTATATTCCAACAATTTACTAGTTCATATTCAAAGCTGGTTCCTGGTGTTGTTGCACCTCAATCTTACGAACAAGATTGTGCATCAGATTTATATATATCAAGCTGGTGCATCAGAATTATTTCTAATGATGCACATCAGGCTGTTCATGGAACAAGATTGTGTATCAGGCTGGTATATCAATCTGATGCACAAGTTGGTGCATTACAGGGATTCAATTGTGCATCACATTTATGCACCGCAACCCATCCTAATTTTCAATAGCCACAAGTAGCTTTTAATTCACTCACAATGCTGTCAATTATGAAAACTATCAACTCAGCTACGTACAAGAAAAACCCAAGTGACAAGATGATTCATTTATCCAATAATACAAGTAGATAAAGCCAAGTTACAACTATTACAACCAACTACAAATACACATTACAACAAACGAGCTTTTCAACGAACAAACTTCATAAGCTAAGCTACGTCTAACGCTTAATGCGAAAAGCAGGTCCTGGAAAATCTATAGCTCAGATGGTACAACATACAAGTAGGGATTAAATTTCATAGGGGAGTCAAATGCAAGTGCATCTGGCGCCACAAATTCATCTCCAATCCAAACCCAGTGAACACCATTCAAGGAAGTTTTTAGAAATTGAAGATCATCAATGTCAATGTATTCTTGCAAACTTTAGCAGATTAATGGTATCTGCTTCTGGAGCTCTGCATTAAAATGCAACTTGAGCTCAGTACAGTGTTGAGATAGCGCAACTAATTGTCCAGACAAAATTTCTAAACCCAGACTATTAATCCAACCAAGTTTGAGCCGTAAACATTCAGACCATTCCCATCCAGTATATGAAACTTAGGCGAAACAATCAACATCTGTGTTTTTGGTCTGACCTCATCTGGCTCTGCTACTTGATGGGCTGAGGCTAACCATGGAAGCCCCTGAACTGGCGGATTTACAAGACACCAGCTACCAGTCCTCAACTCTGACCAAAACTCTTCTATGTTCAAATCATCGACTAAGTTGCGGATAATCACCTTGATGTCCAGACCATCTTCATAAAGGTTCTCCATGGTGGCAGCAACAGGACCGGCGAGCAGAATAATAGTAGCCATCTTCTGAATACAGTTTTCTTCTTCGGCTTCCTTGCCCGATTTTCCACCATGAAAACTCGAACTCCAAGCTTGTCGCAGGTCAGTATGGATATAGATATAGAGAGTTAAGGTGTAGGGTTAGGTGAGGAGGCACGGAGTGGAGCTGAAGACCGGTGCCGACGTCTTGCTAGCTCGAATTTCTAGTTTGGGGCGACGGGAATTAGGGCTTCAAATTGGGGATTCTAATTTTGGGACTTCTATTTGTGGAAAAGAAATGTGTTTGGTGGGAGATTTCTGCTGATATGGACAATGTTTAACACCGTTAGGATGCCACGTATGATTGGCATTTGCCACGTGCGATTGGCATTTGCCACGTGCAATTTTCCGTCCATAATTTGAAAATACTAGTTGATCAATGATGAAAGAGTAACCATATAAAAAGATGAGTGATCAATGGGTAACCCGTCAAAGATGAGTAAGTGATAACAATTTTAAAGTTGAGCGAGGATTGGTTAAATTAACTCAATTTCCAATAAAAACTTAATAATCTTAATAATAGCACTGATATTATTAATCAAATAACACGGCACAGTTTACCATTTATGTTAGTTTGTTGAACATAGCTGCATCAACTATAGTTATATGTAAAAGCCACATTATAAATGTTTTAAACAGTCTTAACATCCACAATAACTGCAGTACTTATGGTTAAAGTTCTTACAGCGCTCTCTCTCTCTCAAAACACTATCTAAACACTTCCGGAAAAGTAACTAAAAAGGGGCATCAAGAGGAACTTCATCAATCATCATATCACAATTCTCATCGATAGCCATATAAATCTTCAACATCAGAAAACAAAATGTTCAATTTCTATAGGCAGCAGCATTTAACAACAGTTAAATATACTATATGTTCAATTTCTATAGGCAATAAACACAGCTAATTGATCGGGTGCGAGAGCTGTTGGGAGTTTGTTGAAGACAGTCAGAGATAAAATGCAAAAGAAGTGTACAGAATTGAAGTAGAAACAGTCCAGAGGTTACCTAATATGACATACAGAAAATGGCTCTAATTCACGCCATCAACATTAGGATTGCTAATGACGCCACACACATACTTACGTCCCGTCGGGGTACAACACTTAAACTCCACCGACACGGCATTAACGTGCACCGCCAGCCATGAGTAAACCCTAAACTTGCGCAGAAAACACTGTAAGAATCAAAACCCTAATAATAAGCAGTAGAAGAAAAAAACGGTGAAAAGAATTATCAAATCAGAGAAGGAACTTTTTCTAATTCATTTTGAAATAGATTTGAACATAACAGAGCACTGTGTCAAATCTCTAAAAACTAAAAATCAATAGAAAAAACACTAAAAAATTATAGGAAAAGGATGGGGAAAAGACAATTCTATGATATTCTCTGGGCTAAAGATGTAAATACTCCCACTACAAAGGATCGACGATAAATTTACAAAACTACCCATGTAAACAAACAACTCTTTCAAGGAGACCCTCTCTCTAGCTCTCACTTCTTCCCCTTCTTTGCAGGGGTTGCTTTCTTTGCCGGAGACTTCGCAGTTCGCTTCGTGCTCTTAGCCGGAGCCTTCTTTGCTGCTGGAGGCTTCCTTACAGTTGGGGCCTTCCTCGCCGCCGGAGGCTTCCTTACTGTTGGGGCCTTCCTCGACGCCGGAACCGCCTTCTTAGAGGTTGCCGCTTTCTTCGGGGGCACTGGAGCCGCCTTCTTACCTGGCGATGACCTTGTAGATGTCCTTGAAACCTTAGCAGGCTGCTTCTTTTCAGCTTTGGGCTTTTCTGCAGCCTTCCTTTTCGGGGCTGGCTTCGACTTCACGGGCGTAGCAGCCTTAGGCTTTGCAGCTGGCTTAGATTTGGCAGTTGGCTTGGCCTTGGCAGCCGGCTTAGCCTTGGCAGCGGCCTTGGATTTGGAAGCAGCCGCCTTCGGCTTGGCTTTCGCCTTGGAAGGCGGTGCCTTCTTCTCCTTAGTGGTTTTGCTGGTGGCGGCCTTAGTCTTGGCAGAAGGAGCCGGCTTCTTCTTAGCCGGAGCAGAAGCGGCAGATTTGGAAGCCGACGAACGAGTAGGCGGGAGCTTGTAAGAGCTCTTGACCTTAACCAGCTTACCAGAAGCCACAAGCTTCTTCAAGTGAAAAAGCAAAAGCTTCCTAAAGTTAGACGGCAGATTCTTCTGCTTATCCTCGATAAACTTCTGAATCGCATGTTGACTGGATCCAGTTCTCTCCTTCAATGACACAATTGCCTCTTGGATCATCTGCATGCACACAAAATCCACCAAAATTCAGATCCGAATTCATAAAATCTCGAACCCATGAAAATCAAACAAAATTGAATTGTAATTCAATACCTCGAAGTAAGGAGGATGAGACGGAGAACTGCGTTTTTTGGGAGCAGCAGGTTTCTTCGGCCTGGGTTCTTTCTTAGACTTGGCAGGCTTAACCGGTGGATCCTCTTCCACAACTGGTTCAGCGTCGGCCAGCTCAGCCACATGCTCGATGGGAGCAACTGGTTCTTCGGTGGAGGCCATAGAGAATTATTTCTAGTTTCAGAAAACTGAGATTACTGTCTCAAAAATCAACTAGGATTTTGAGAAATTCGTATAATGTGGATCTCTTGGAGGATTGGGGATGAAGGCTGAGCGTGAAATGTGGTGGATTTATATAGTAAGCGTTAGAGAGCTAATATCCAGATGCTACAACATGATTGGTAAAGAGGCCCTTGACGGGGATCCAGGCTTGTGCGAAATTTTAAATTTAGGCCGTTGGATTGGGATTTAATCTACAGTTGTGAGCGATGGATGAGTAGGATATGGATTGAAATGCAGCAAAGTAGGCAGTTTTAGGCTACTAAAGGTGTGCTTTTGTGCTCGATTGATCCAGGAATAACTTGAGCTACACCTAATGGAATTGGATGAAATCTTTTCTAATGTTTAGGAAATTTCATAAGCTTTCTGGAGAGTATTCGCTCGAGATCTACAGATCAGTAATTTGGGAAATATTGTACTTTGAAGCGAAAGTGGTCAAGATAACGCTTTTCGTGGAGTATATTGTGCTTTTGGAGCATTTTGTGAAGATTCTTGGAATCGAATGTTGTTTTTGAGATTGGATATGATAGTAGGTTAACATACGAGTCCATGCAATTAAGAATTATTCAAATCGCATCACGTTTGGATGGAAAAATATGAGTTACAATCACGCTGAAGATGAACACATTAGAAATAGTTGTGCATCAAGTTATATTAGGTCTTGCATACATTTTACATCAAAAGATTTTTGTTTCAATTAAAACAAATATGATGTTTGTGATCAAATAAATGTTCATAACCGGACAACATTAATTGCGTAAAGTGGACGACAAATGGAATGTTTTTAACGTTGTGTACTTTAATTGTACGGTAAACTAGCATGTAAAATTAATGTAGTGCACATTCATCTTGACACGTGTTATTCTTTCTCAATGATAAAAATTAGTTAGCAACAGATAAAATGTGTCGGATTTTTCATATAAACTTAGCTTTTTTATGTCGAGTGGCATAGAGTAGAGACAAATAGAATACCATCGTGTGATTTGACTACATGGTATATTGCCAAGTAAATTAAAGGTATCGTAAGTTAATTTTGCGACATGTCATTAATCAATAATCTTCAGAATTAGATGATTATGGGTAAATTTTGTGTTCATTTTCCATGAAAGCTTGGTTTTATTATGTTATATGAAAAGTTAATTACATCTTTGCAATTGTATCTATCCTATTAAATTGAAAATTACACTACCTTGACAAAATTTACAAAAAAAATCTTGGCTTGCTAAGAACATTTATTGCTGAGTATTTATGTGTATTTACTACATTTAATTTGCTACTTAGGAATACAATAACTAAATTTATTACTATTATAAGCAAGTATTTGTAAATTGTGAAGTGCTATGTGCTTTAATTGCATGCTATATAAAAGTAAGGTGGGTTAATATTGCCATATGGTATTCTTTTTTAATCTTCGAAATTAGTTGATCACAATCAAAATTTGTGTCCAATCTTCATAAAAGCTTAGTTTTGATTCTGTTATGGGCTATTTTGATTTTTTATGGAAAGTTATTTATATCTTTGCAAATCTACCTACCTATTAAATTGAAAATTACACCATAATGGGAAATATTACCAAAATTCTTGACATGCTAAGAACATTTAAGGCATGTTTGGAATAGTTTTTGTTTTCATTCACGTTCTTTGCTCAAGAGCTAATCTTATAAAAGCTCTCACGATAAGACGAGGCACTTCTAAAAGATTATTTAAACATGCCAAAAACAAATTTTTAGTATAAAAAGTAGTTTTTTACTTTCAAAAGTCAAGTCAAACAAACCCTGAGTGCAGATATTTATGTTATATACTATATATATTCAGTTTGCTACCATAGTACAAGAATAATAAAATTACTTACTACTACGAAAAAATTTTCATTGTCAAATAAATTGTCGCTAGTTTATTTTTCCATGTGTTACTCTTCGATCTTCAAAATAGTTGAAAATGGATAAATTTGTTTCCGTACACCCATAAAAGATTGGTTTTATTACGTTACGTGCTATTTTGTTTTTGTTCTAAAAGTTATTTATAACTTTGCAATTGTATCTCTCTTATTGAATTGAAAAATACACTATAGTAAAGCTTGTAAAAAAAAATATTGTCATGTTAAGAACAATTTACAACTATATTGTATACCATATTATCTATAATGTCACCTTATATCACTACAAACAAGTCTTTGAAAAATTTGAAAGGGCGTGCTATAATTGCATGTTATGCTATCGTGTAAATAAGATATCATTAATTTATTTTTCCACGTATTATTTTTCTTAGGGATTGTTTGACAAAGTTTTAGTAAATTTGATAAAAATTGATAAAAGTTGTGAGTGATATGAAATGTGTGGTTAAAAGTGACGTTTAACCAAAATTAAAATGTTAGCCAAGTTTTATCTAACAAGCAATTAATCTTTAAATGAGTTGATAACGGATAAGATTTGTGTCTCCTTTTGGTTGGTTTTATTATCTTTCGTCGCTTTTTTTATATTTTGCTTATAAAATACAAACAGTTGTATATATCTTAGCAATTTTAGCTATCTTATTAAATTGCAACTTAGCTCTATGTTGACAAAATTTGTTAAACACTCGTCATGTTAACATCAATTAGCATTTATATCATTTATATTGCATGCCAAGCTCAATTTGTTTACCAAGACAATAATTAAATTTGCTCACTACTACAAACAAGTCTTAGTAAATATTTATCATGGGCTTTAATTTATACTATCGTATGAAATAAAAGTATCATTTGTTAATCTTTACACCTTCTAATCCTTTTCAATGTTCAAAAATTATAAGGATGTCCTCAATTTAAACACCACTAAAAAACACAGTTTTAAGCACGGATTTTCCGTTCCTAAAGTTTCAATATCCGTTGCTAATAATCTTTACCAACGGAATATTTGCAACCACAAATTCGTTGATAATTTGAGGGTCGCTGATAGTTACCAACAGATCATGCCGTATGTAAAGAGTAAATATTTTACCAACGGAAAATCTGTTGGTAAAGTGTGAATCTTTTACCAACGGAATTTCCGTTGGTCAAAGTCTTAACCAATACCAACCGACTTTTCGTTGGTAAATATTTACCATTACAATTGGTGAAAATCAATGTTGTAAATAACCGTATAGTAAAAAAGTTATTTATTTATTTATTTATTATTATTATTATTATTATTTAATAATTATAATATTTTTTTTTATTTTTAGTCAACTGAATTGAAAGGGCAAATATTGTTTAACTCCTTATTGGACCACAAATTTATAGAGGGCAACTACAAAGATATTGTTGTAAACTTCCAATGTGGGATAAGTGAATTATTTTTACCAACGGATAATCCGTTTCTAATTACCAACGGAATATCCGTTGTTGAAAAATCAAAATGTTAAACGGTTATATTAGGCACGGAATATTCGTTGGTAAAGAGATATCATTTTTACTAATGGATAATCCGTTTCTAATTACGAACGAAATATCCGTAGGTAAATAATCAAAATGTTAAACGGCTATATTAAGCATGAAATATCCGTTGGTAAAGAGATATCATCTTTACCAACGAAAAATCTGTTGTTGATTATTGTAGCTAAAAGTGAATTACTTTTACCAACGGATAATTCGCTGATAGTTACCAACAGATCATGCCGTATGTAAAGAGTAAATATTTTACCAACGGAAAATCTGTTGGTAAAGTGTGAATCTTTTACCAACGGAATTTCCGTTGGTCAAAGTCTTAACCAATACCAACCGACTTTTCGTTGGTAAATATTTACCATTACAATTGGTGAAAATCAATGTTGTAAATAACCGTATAGTAAAAAAGTTATTTATTTATTTATTTATTATTATTATTATTATTATTTAATAATTATAATATTTTTTTTTATTTTTAGTCAACTGAATTGAAAGGGCAAATATTGTTTAACTCCTTATTGGACCACAAATTTATAGAGGGCAACTACAAAGATATTGTTGTAAACTTCCAATGTGGGATAAGTGAATTATTTTTATCAACGGAATATCCGTTGCTGAAAGTTTAAAATGTTAAACGGTTATATTAGGCACGGAATATCCGTTCGTAAAGAGATATTATTTTTACTAACGGATAATCCGTTTCTAATTAGCAACAGAATATCCGTAGGTAAAAGATCAAAATGTTAAACGGTTATATTAGGCACGGAATATCCGTTGGTAAAGAGATATCATCTTTACTAACGAAAAATTTGTTGCTGATTATTGTAACTAAAAGTGAATTCCTTTTACCAACGGATAATCCGTTTCTAATTACCAACGGATGCAATCCGTTGGTAATATTCAATACATCACCTACGGAATATCCGTTGGAGGAAGATTCAAATGTTAAACGATTACATTAGGCACGGAATATTGGTTGGTAAAGAGATATCATCTTTACCAACAGAAAATCCGTTGCTAATTATCGTAGTTAAAAGTGAATTATTTTTACCAACGGATAATCCGTTTCTAATCACCAACGGATGCAATCCGTTGGTAATTTTCCGTAGGTGAAAAGCTATTTTTTAGTAGTGAAATTTCAATGGATTTTAAAAGTCGTACCAAATTCAGGTGTCTTCAATTGAGATTTTAATATTCTTAGTAACTCGTAGATTTATAAACATTACATTAATAAAGGATTTCGGAGCTTTAAAAATGTACATAACAAACTCTTTTGAAAAATAACAATTTTTAATAAGATTCTTATAGATTATGTGGAAATATAATCAAATTTACAAGTTCCTTAAAATTTATAATCTTTTTTCAATTTATTAAAATCTTAGTTATGGATACCTTAGTTACTTTATGAAAGATAAAATCCATGACCATGCTTCATTATACTTCAATTTTTATATTTTGTGACGCTAAAATTAAACTAACTTGGCAAAACTAACAAAAAGTTTTGCTGCCATAAGTTATTTATGTGTTTACAAATGTATCTGCCCTATTAAATTGAAAATTAAACTATAGTGGGGAAAATTGCCAAATTTTTAACGTGTTAAGATCGTTTACATGTATGGAATATTTTGTATTTCTATTCCTACTTTTGCAAAAGAGCTTCT